CGACCCCTCCCTCACCACCTTCAAGACCCACCTCAAGACCCTCCTCTTTGACTGTGCTTTCGATCTCCCCGCTTCCCCCCTTGCCCTCCCCCATCCTGAGCATCAGTTTGGGTCTGAAACTCTGTCTGCCCAGTGCCTTGGGATGTCCTCCCGACATGAAAGGCTCTATATAATTGTAATTTTGATGTTGTTGTTACACTTGGAAAATTCTCTACAGAATGGAATACACATTCTCTCCCTGGAGAGACACACTCTGTTTCCTATTTCCAGAGTTTAATGGGCAAGGATCAGTGAGCCAAAGCTTGGAGATCCCTGAGTATCTGTTGAGACGTTGCTACAGTTTAACCAGCTAAAACTGCATAACCTGCTATTGAAAGCACTGCCCAGCAAGCTTGCACAATGAGGACCACCCTTCTAGTCAGGGCTTTGGCTTGCAGAGTAAATAGGAGCTGAGTGGCAAGAGTCCTTTTTCCCAGGAAACTAGTCCACCCCTTCAAGTTGTGCTGAAGAGTTGACCTGTCAGAGGCAGGGCCCTGTATTACTGTGATCTCTCTGGCTAAGAATACTAGGGACTTGTTCAGCTGGAACCCCATTTTGATCTGATGATATCCCTCCCCCAAAGTGCAAAAAGATTCTAAGAAAATGAAAAAAACACTCCTCTAGTTGGTATTTCAGTTGTTGTATAAACACAGAAGCTGTATCCTAGGACTGGAGCACAACACATTTGTTATTCAAAAAGGGAGTGAGTAATGTGCTTATTATATGTTACACATTCAATATTTAATTATCAGCCTGGTTTGGCTGCTAGCAGGCTGTCTCTGAGCAAGAAGGTTGTGGGTTCAAGCCCCGTATCAGGACTTGGAACTGATATATTCTATGCTGACTCATCCAGTGCTGAATTGTTGGAGGAGCTGTCCTTCCGATGAAACATTATCCCAATATCCAGTTTGCTTTGTCCAGGAGGACATTAAAGATCCTCAGATACTATTCAAGAAGTGAAAGGAGTTTATCGCGGTGTCGTGGCCTCTGTTGGGATTTAACCTTAAAATTAATACATGCAGCCAATTGAAATACACAGTGTTGTTTCAAAGCTGCAATTATCCTATTTGGGAAACGATTACGCTTTTCATGTTTGTAATTGATTTTATTTGTTTACAAGCCCACAATGTGATTATTGGTGTTTAATCTACCATAGGTGCAAAATTTCAGAGTGAATAAAATAAGGTTTCCCTACAATGCTTTCCATCCTGTTAATACAATGAACACAACGCCCTCTTTATAGTTCTTCCCAGTTTTTGGATCACACCTATCAGAATTGAAGAGGTTGTGTTCTCTCTGCTGCAGTTAACAATTTCTCCCTCAACAGACACCCAACTGCAGCCGAACGGATCTCAGGTGAAAGGCAAGTTTTTGTACGATCTCTTGTGTGTCTGCAGCTGCTGTGTGAATCCCAGACACCACAATAATAAATGCCACTGTCATCCGAGTTGAGGCTTCTGATTCTTAGAGTGCACGAGTCCCCACTTTTATCAGCAGAAAAACGGCTTGAAAAATCAGGCGAGTTATCTTTCTTATTTCCTGAGTGGTAATAGAGGATCCATTGCAGTCCCTTCCCGGGAGTTTCACGGTACCAGTGAACATAGTCATTGCCTATATTATTCTTTCTACAGGTAATCCTCGCTGCCTTTCCTAATTTGACGATCGTGGATCTGGGCTGTGACAAGGTAAAGCCATCACAGCCAACTGGAAAGACAAAAACAATCATTAGGTTATTTTACTCTCTCTCTCTCTGACAATCTGATGGTTACTGAATGGCATTCAGATAAACTTACGCGACAGCAAGACGGTCAGTACACAGACCCAGCCTGTCCTCAGCATGTTTGATACCATGTGTGGCCCAGGAACAGCTTCAAGCCAATTTGACCATCTCAGTTGGCTCGTCTTCCTGTGGGAAAGATCCAAACCCGTTTGCACCAATTAGAGCCGTTTTGCGGTTGTTTCCTCCTCCCCTCAGAGCGTAATACTCGAAGCTTTACTTTCTCTTTGCCATTTATTCATTATTCTAAGAACTTGGACCATTTGATAGCAACTTGTTCCCTTAGGATTTGACCTCCTAATCTTGTTTTACACTGGGGGGGGGGGGGGTCGGAGGACAGTCAGAGGTTCTGTCTTTGGGGTGAGATGATTTACCGAGTTCCCTTGCCTCATTCAGGTGGACACTAGAAATATTATAACACTATCAAAAAAGCTTTTCTCACCGCCCTGACCAAACTTCCCCATTAGGTACTGCTGTTTTCGGGAACTTGCTGGTGCTAATGGGTTTGAGTTTGCCTACAAAGGCAGCCACTACACACTGACCAACAGTTACTTATGAAGGGATTAGATACATAGCAACATGATATGGAAGTTATACTCTGACCAGTCCAGCAGCAGATTGACAACAATTAATACCAAGAGCTATTGATAGAAACATTTTGATTCTACAGAGGATTTGGTGTTGATATAATTTTCAGATCTCAGTTTGCTAAACCTCACACACACTTGGAGACACCAACCATATTGACCTACTGTCAGAGTGAAATTCCTTTAGACTTTCGTCACAAATGTTAATACAGCAAATGTTTTACCTCTTTCAAACGCCCCCTCCTGCCCTCTACAACTGATACAATTCAAGCTGGGGGGGGGGGGTCACGTCATCATCAATTCTCACATTATCTTACTCTCTCGTATTCTTTTGAACCTTACTAGTGCTGTAGATCTCATCCTAAATGAACGTAAAAATGGAAACTATATGAGGGATCCGGAAGATGACTGTTACAGATTATTAATTTGTGATTATGTGTTGCAAATTTTGTTCAACAGAACATCTTTGATATTGTAATTCCTGTTTTAATCAACTTTTCTATGAATTATTTTACACCCATTCCCTCTACTTATTTTTCTTTGGAGCACTTGGAACTTGTTGACTGGTTTAAAAATGTGTGTCTTTTTGGTCAGTTCGCCCTCTGCTCGAAATCTGCCTCCGTTAAGCAGAGCTGCGACAGAAAGGTGGAAAGGCTTTTATAAACTTGCACCAAACAAAAGATTTAAAGGCATATTTACTTTTAATTTTTTATACTTGGACCTTTTACGAGAAAATAGATTAACAGAACATACCAGGAAGTGCATAGTGACTTGGCCAGTCTTGATCTGTGGCATAAGTTATAAAATCACAGAATGTTACAGCATAGAAACACACCAATTAGCTCACTAAGGCTGCACTGGTGTTTTGCTCTATATTAAGGCACTTATTCTAATCGCACTCTCCTGCTCACTGCACATACTCCTGAATATTTCTCTTTTTCCAGGCTTGACTTTTTTTAAACGTAATATGGGATATGCTTCAACTGTGGTTCATGGAAGATCATGTTACATGCCAACCACCCTCTGTGTAAAGGGAATAATGTTGTGATGTTTAAAGCGTTACTTGAGTTACTTTACGTCTATATACACGACCACAAGGTGGCAGCACACCCAACACAGTAAGCGGATTGTGCTCCTTCAGACCAGATATCCACTATCTCTATATTAGTGAAATGAAAGTAAATTGTAGGACTCAGAGTAATCACATGTTGGCTTATGAGTTATTTTGTATTGTTGATCTGCTGAGGAGCGGCGAATTCTGCGCTATGCGGTGATAGTCATGATTCAAGGATTCAGAATCAACATTCAACATTGGCACATCCGAAACCAGGCCTCAGTGAATGGGAGATGGATTCCATGCAGCAATTTGGTGAACGTATTTCTAGGTGGCAGCTGCATGTCTAATACAAGTTAAAACTCATCAGATTGAGAGTTCCATATATGTAGCCTCTTACACACGGAAAGCTCTCCGAATGGAATAACAACTCTCTCCCTGGAAGGTCCCACTCTATTTTGTAATTCCAGAGAGTATTGGCCACAGTTTAATGAGCCAAAGCTTAATTATCTGTTGGGACATTGCTGCAGTTTAACTGGCTAAAACCGTGTAACTTGCCGTTTAAAGCACCTCCCAGCAAGCTTGCCCAATGAGGACCATCCTATTAGTCAGCGCTTTAGTTTGCAGAGTAAATAGGTGCTGAGTGGGAACCGTCCTTATTCCCAGTGAACCACTTCACACATTCAAGTTGTGCCGAAGTGTTGGCTGGCTGAGCGGTTATAGGCAGTGCCCGAGAACACTGTGATCTGCCCGGCTAAGGAAACTAGAGTCTTCTTCAGCTGAAACTCCCATTAGATCTGTTGATATCCATCCCCCATTGGGCACAAAGAACCTCCTCCCAAAGAACACTCCTCTGGTTGGTATTTCAGCAGTTCCATAAACACGTTAGCTGTATCCAAGGACTGGAGAACAACACATTTGATGTTCAAAAATGGAGTGAGGCGTGTGCTTGACACATGTTACACATTCAATATGTAACTATCAGCCTGGTTCATTTGTTAGCACTCTTGCCTCTGAATAAGAAGGTTGTGGGTTGAAGTGCCATATCACGATAGTCTGTGCTGACTAATTCGGTGCTGAATTGTTGGAGGTGCCGTCCTTCAGATGAACCATTATCCCAAGATCCAGTTTGCTGTGTCCAGGTGGACAAGAAAGATCATAAGGCACTATTCAAAAAAACTGAAAGGAGTTTATCCCGGTGGACTGGACTTTGTTTGGATTTAATCTTAAATATATTATATGCAGCCAATTGAAATTCAATCGTGTTGTTTCAAAGCTGGAATTATCCTATTTTGGAAACGATTACGTTTTTCATGTTTTTAACTGAATTTTATTTATTTACACGCCCACCATGTGATTATTGTTGTGCAATCTACCAAAGGTGCAAAATGTCTGAGTGACTAAAATAAGGTCCCCCTTGATCGCATTCCCTCCTACTTAATACAATGAGCGCAAAGCCCGTTGTATAGTTCTCAGTTTCTGGACCACAACTGTCAGGATTGACCAGACTGTGATCTCTCTGCTGCAGTTAACATTTTCTCCCTCAATACACTGAGACCCAACTGCAGCCGTGTTGGCTTCCGAGTGAAAGGCAAGTTTTTGTACGATCTCTTGTGTGTCTGCAGCTGCTGTGTGAATCCCAGACACCACAATAATAAATGCCACTGTCATCCGAGGTGGGTCTTATGATTATGAGAGTGCACGAGTCCCCACTTTTATCAGCAGAAAAACGCGAAAAATCAGGCGATATATCTGTCTTATCTTCTGAGTGGTAATAGAGGATCCATTGCAGTCCCTTCCCGGGAGTTTCACGGTACCAGTGAACGTAGTCATTGCCAATATTATTCTTTGTACAGGTAATCCTCGCTACCTTTCCTAATTTGACGATCATGGATCTGGGCTGTGACAAGGTAAAGCCATCACAGCCAACTGGAAAGACAAAAACAATCATTAGGTTATTTTACTCTCTTTCTCTCTCTCGCTCTCTGATAATCTGATGGTTACTGAATGGCATTCAGATAAACTTACGCGACAGCAAGACGGTCAGTACACAGACACAGCCTGTCCTCAGCATGTTTGATACCATGTGTGGCCCAGGAACAGCTTCAAGCCAATTTGACCATCTCAGTTGGCTCGTCTTCCTGTGGGAAAGATCCAAACCCGTTTGCACCAATTAGAGCCGTTTTGCGGTTGTTTCCTCCTCCCCTCAGAGCGTAATACTCGAAGCTTTACTTTGTCGCTTTGCCATTTATTCATTATTCTAATAACTTGGATCATTTGATAGAACTTTACTCCCACAGGATTTGAGCTCCTAATCTTGTTTTGCAATGGGGGAACAGAGCACGGTCAGAGGTACTGTCTTTGGGGGTGAGATGTTCAATCGATGTCCCATTGCCTCATTCAGGTTGCCACTAGAAATATTATGACACTTTCAATAACAAAGCTTTTCTCTCTGCCCTGGCCAAGATTGCTCTTTGTGTTCGGGAACTTGCTGGTGCAAATGGGTTTGAGTTTGCCTACAAAGGCAGCCACTGCACACTGAACAACAGTTATTTATGAAGGCAATATGTGCAAAGCATTATGATATGGAAGTTATTCCCTGACCAGTCCAGCAGCAGATTGACATCAAATCATACCAAGAGCTATTGATGGAAACATATTTATTTGACAGAGGATTTGGGATTGATATAATTTTCGTTGATATCAGTTTGGGAAACCTCACACACACACTTGGGGACACCAACCAAACTGACCTACTGTCAGAGTGAAATTCCATTAGACATTAGTCACAAATGTTAATACAGCAAATGTTTTACCTCTTTCAAACGCCCCCTCCTGCCCTCTGCAACTGATACAATTCAAGCTTGGGAGGGGGGGGTCACATAATCATCAACTCTCACATTATCTTACTCTCTCCTATTCCTTTCAACCTTAGTAGTACCGTAGATCTCATCTTATATGAACGTATGTCAATAAAAATGGAAACTATATGAGGGACCCAGAAAATTATTATTACAGCTTGTTAATTCGTGATTATTTGTTGCAAATTCTGTTCAACAGAACGTCTTTGATGTTGTAATTCCTGTTTTAATCAGCGTTTCTATGACTTGCTTTACACCCATTCCCTTTACTTATTTTTCTTTGCAGAACTGAGAACTTGTTGACTGGTTTAAATATGTGTGTCTTTATAGTCAGTTCGCCCTCTGCTCGAAATCTGCCTCCGTTAAGCAGAGCTGCGACAGGAAGGTGGAAAGGCTTTCATAGACTTGCACCAAGCAAAAGATTTAAAGGCATACTTACTTGTAATTTTTTATACTTGGACCTTTTACGAGGAAATCGATTAACTGAACATACCAGGAAGTGCATAGTGACTTGGCCAGTCTTGATCTGTGGCATAAGTTATAGAATCACAGAATGTGACAGCATAGAAACACACCAATTAGCTCACTAAGGCTGCACTGGTGTTTTGCTCTATATTAAGGCACTTATTCTAATCGCACTCTCCTGCTCACTGAACATACGCCTCAATATTTCCTTTTTTCCAGGCTTGACTTTTTTTAAGCATAATATGGGCTGTGCTTCAACTATGGTTTATGGCAGATCATGTTGCTTGCCAACCACCCTCTGTGTAAAGGGAGTAAAGTTGTGATGTTTAAAGAGTTACTTGTGTTACTTTACGTCTGGATACACGACCACAAGGTGGCAGCAAACCCATCACAGAAAGTGGATAGAGCCTCTTCAGACCAGATATCCACCATCTCTATATCAGTGAAATTAAAGTAAATTGTAGGAGAGTAGTCATGTGTTGTTTATGAGTTATTTTGTCGGTTTGATCCCAAGGCACTATTCAAAAAGTGAATGGGGTTAATCTCGGTGTCCTGCCTTCGTAGGGATTTAATCTTATAATTAATACATGCAGCCAATTGAAATACAATCGTGTTGTTTCAAAGCTGGAATTATCCTATTTGGGAAACGATTCCGTTTTTCATGTTTTTTTTTTATTTTTTTTTATTTTTTTATGTGCACGCCCACCATGTGATTATTGTTGCGCAATCTACCATAGGTGTAAAATGTCTGAGTGACCAAAATAAGGTTCCTCTGTAACTCTTTCCATCCTGTTAATATAATGAACACAACGCCCTCTAAATAGTTTTTCCTAGTTTCTGGTCCACAACTATCAGGATTGACCAGACTGTGATCTCTCTGCTGCAGTTAACAATCTCCTCCTCAATACACTGAGACCCAACTGCAGCCGTGTTGGCTTCTGAGTAAAGGCAAGTTTTTGTGCGATCTCTTGTGAGTCTGCAGCTGCTGTGTGAATCCCAGACACCACAATAATAAATGCCACTGTCATTCGGCTTAACTTTTATGATTGTAAGAATACTCGAGTCCCCACTTTTATCAGCAGAAAAACGCAATGGAAAATCAGGCGAGTTTTCTGTCTTAGTTCCTGCGTTGTAGAGAATCCATTGAAGCTCCTTCCCGGGATTCCCAAGGTACCAGTGAACATAGTCGTTGCCCATCGATTTCCCATGCATTGTACAGGTAATCCTTGCTGTTCTTCCTTGATTATTGATCATGGATCTGGGCTGTGACAAGGTAAAACCATCACAGCCAAATGGAAACAGAAAATAAAATCATCAGCATCATTTACTGTCACTGATAATGTGATGATCATTAAATTGCATTCAGATAAACTTACGTGACACCAGAGCACACAGCACACAGACACAACCTGCCCCCCGCATATCTGATGTGAAAAGCTTGAAGGGGATCTGACCATCTCACTGCGTTCCTCTTGAGTGAGAATGGTCTAAACCTATTTGTGCCAATAAGCAGTGTTTGCGGTTATGTTACCCCTCCCCCCACGACTTCTTCAAACTGAGCATCACCTATTGCCAATTATTCATTTTATTAACATATTGGCTCATTTGGCAGCACTGCAGGTTCTGGTACAGAAGGTTGTGGGTTCAAGAACCACAGCATTTGTACTTCTGTTAGACAACAGGATATCATCCATGGAGTCTGGCATTGATGGTCTCACAGAGCTTGCTTTGGTACAACTGATAATCCATGAGGCCATGGTTATATTTTTACAAATATAGCAGCATTCACAACACAGAAAGCTGTTAGTGAAAACACATGTTTCACCATCTTCGATTTACCATCAGAGAGAACTAATATGTCACGATACTTAAAATTTGATTCTCCAGAAAAATGAGCAAGAAACTGATCTGTAAGTGCGATCTTTAGTGGATTTCATTTTGAGCAAACATGTTACAGTCAATGGAATCCATAGAAGCCAATGGCAATGCAAATATATTGTCGTATTCACTTATATAATAGACACAGGACTTCACAGTAAAAACCCTTTGAGAAACGTTTTGAGATGTGATATTTGGGCGATATCATCAGATTGTTTTCTCTGCTGCAGTTAACAATCTGCCCTTCAATACACAGTCCCAGCTGCAGCCGAGGTGATCTTGTGAAAGGCAACTTTTTGTACGATGCCTTGTGTGTCTGGGAGGGCGGTGTGAATGCCAGAGCCCACAGTAATAGGTGGCTGTGTCCTCCTGGACGGGTTTTATGATTGTTAGAATGCACAACTGACCACTTTTAACAGCAGAGAAACGCTCTGAAAAGGCAGGTGAGGTTTCCGTCTGACTTTCTGAGCGGTAATAGAGAATCCACTGAAACTCCTTCCCGGGATTCCCACGGTACCAGTGAACATACACATTCTGCATTGATGCACCGCCAGAGTGCAGGTCATCTCTACTGTTCTGCCGGTTTTCTTGACCATGGATCCGGGCTGCGTCAAGGAAAGACCATCACAGCCCACTGGAAAGACAAAAACAATTCCTTATTTTATTTTACTCTTTGATAATGTGATAATCCTTTAATTGCATACAGAAAAACTTACGTGTCACCAGGACACTCAGCACAGAGACACAACCCCACATATCTGATGTGATGTGTGGACCAGAGACAGTTTGAAGCGGATCGGATCACTTCACCTCACGTTTCTCGCTGTGGGAATGATCCAAACCTCTTTCTGCCTAATAGGGTTGTTGTGTGGTTGTGTTTCTCCCCTCCCCCACACCGATCTCTTCAGACCACACGATATCTGGGGCCATTTACTCTCTTGTTGGATCAGTTTTATATGGAGGGCAGTTATTGGGAGAAATTCCTCATCTGGTTCTAAATCGAGGATTCAGATTTTTTTTNAAGTGAAAAAACGTTTCATGATTTTTCATCTCCCATCAAGCAGAATTGACATGTTATAGTTTACAGTGCAACTCAGAAGGCGTAAGCAGGAGCCGAGCGTGAACTTTGTTGGGTTTAACCATACAATTAGTAAGTTGCACCGAATGGAGATTTCAAAAAATTCGCCTTCAAACTGGAATTGTTAAGGTTTCCACGTGTAAGTGTTTGTTATTGATTTGCTGTATTTACAAGTACAAAATATCTGAGTGACTAAAATAAAGTTCCTCTTTAACTCTTTCCCTCCTACTTAATACAATGAACACAACGCCCTCTTTATAGTTCTTCCCAGTTTCTGGACCACAACTATCAGGATTGACCAGACTGTGATCTCTCTGCTGCAGTTAACAGTCTCCTCCTCAATACACTGAGAACCAACTGCAGCCGTGTTGGCTTCCGAGTGAAAGGGACGTTTTTGTACGATCTCTTGTGTGTCTGCAGCTGCTGTGTGAATCCCAGACACCACAATAATAAATGCCACTGTCACCCGAGGTGAGGCTTTTGATTCTGAGAGTGCACGAGTCCACAATTTTTTGAGCAGAAAAACTGGGAAAATCAGGCGAGTTTTCTTTCTTATTTCCTGAGTGGTAATAGAGGATCCATTGCAGCCCCTTCCCGGGATTTTCACGGTACCAGTGAACATAGTCATTGTCAATATTATTCTTTGTACAGGTAATCCTCGCTACTGATCCTGATTTCGCGATAATGGATCTGGGCTGTGACAAGGTAAAGCCATCACAGCCAACTGGAAAGACAAAAACAATCATTAGGTTATTTTACTCTCTCTCTCTGACAATCTGATGGTTACTGAATGGCATTCAGATA